CTTCACACTGTCCAGTAAGTAGTGTCAAGTCCGTACTCTTCTTTTCTAAGAAGGCAGGAATAAGAATGAAGGTGAATTAAGGTTCCCTAAGCCTTTCCTGGGAAGCAGAACACGGACAGGATTGAATCCTGGAAAGCAAAACAAGGATAGGCCTGAATTTCAGTCTACCCAATGACTAATTCAAATAGTAGGAAAACCACAGATAATAACCTGAGGTCAGAAACATGGCAAAACCAAAAAAAAAAAAAAGTCATGCTCTTGTTTAACTTACAAGTTTATAAAGCTGTAAGCTTAGACAAAGAGATCAATCCAACATTTTTTTCAGCCCTAACAAAGGAAACTAGAGCATGAAGATATACAAAAGTTATCAGAAACAGACATTATCGTGAAAAAGTGCATCTCTGCACATCTGTGCTGTAACTGGAAAGTCAACTGGCAAAATCAAAACCATAAAATGCTGTTTCACCAAACACTAAGAATTTGTTCTACAACTGTTGCCTTCAAAACTATTTGGGTCAGGTCCAACTGCAAAGATGCCAGCGAAATACACTTTACAAGACAGTACAATCTTGAGCACTATGCCCTGTAACTTGTTTATTTTTGATTCTGCAGGTTTGCTTTTTCATCTCCCTGACAGATTCAGGATGCTCTACTTATTAACTCATTCTCTGAAAACAAGTAGGTTTTTTTGTACTCTATTCTGATCTAGAGAGACCACATTGCCTTCTTCAAGGATGGAACGTTTCTGTTAAATAGAGCCATATAACTCATGCTTTCTCTGTTAACTCCAACATCTATACATTGCAATTGTTTCCTCCTGTGAAGCATTCCCATCACATTATCTCAAGTACTACAGTGCTGAACTGAAGTATTACATTTTGGATGGTGCTGGCATAGTGGTATAAGGGAACAGAAATAAACAAGAGGAAAGCCAGAGTCTCTCTTCTTTCTAACAGAAACAAAACTTTAGAAGCTGGACACAGTTGAAAGGACAGTGGCTAAAAAATTGAGAAAAGGAAGACCACTAATAGCACCATCACCTGCTCTGCTGTTCTGTGATCCCTCACACAATCAGATCACACAGTTTTCTCAGTACTGATATCTTAAATAGAAACTCACGGAATATAAACATAATTGTAAAAAAGAAAAACAAAACAAAACAAAACACTGCCCTTCACAGCAAAACATAATACCCACTAACTTTTCCTTTCCAATTACATTGCCTTTACTATTGCCTGTAAAATCTTACTGTACATTCTGAATTATGACATAGCTTATAAATAACTAATCACTTACTATTTTTTATAGTGAATGTGACAAAGAATTGCAAGAGGAAGGGTTTTCACCTGTGCTTTGTACTAGTACCAGAGATAAGAAGAGGCCTACTTTCTATGCAGGTAAGGCTATTATAACACAGGATATATAGAAGTAGATTAAGTACATTAACTTTCCGCTGGAAATATCAACTGCTTCCCTGATTTTGACTCCCTGAGCTGAATGTCATGTATATAGCATTCCCAAATTACTCCTGCAACTCTGCCTTAACTTTTGAAGTCAAAACAATTAAAGAAAGAATTTGTTAATGAAGACAACTCTCTTGAGAACAGCACTAGCACGTTGTTTGTCATTCTAGTCAAACACACACTTGTGGAGGTGAAAGCACAGAAGTATCTTGGAAAAGGGAATCACGTGTGTTCCAGCCTCCTGAACGGCACATTTGTACACAACAACCTCTCCAATGGCTCTGTAAGTCACTGACATCCAAAGAGTTTATTGGCTCCGTTCCTCTGCAGCTGCAGGAGGCAAGATTTTCTTTCCACCTTGTACCACTGAAAGCAAATCCCACTGCATGAGGCCAGGGATCAGTGTGTTCCACCTCCTGGAGGGAAGACTTGAGCGCTAGAATTCCAAAGCAGTAGTAAGAATGAAAAGATGCACACAGAGAGATTGTTCATATAGGTTATTGTACCAACAGAAAATGAAGTTGGCTAGATTCTTCTCTCTCAGGTTATGAAATGGATTCCACTGTTCCCTATCAAGTAGAGGACACTGGATCCTCACTTAATTAGTTTGAACTTGAGCTTGCTCAACAGGGCAGAGTAGCCCTCTTAACAGAATAGTATCATTACACATTCCCATTTTAAAAATACTTAAACATCAAAATAAATTCTTAACTTATGAAAAAAAAATCTGTACTCTCGGGGCGGGGGGGGGGGGGGGGGGAGGGGGAAAAGTGTTATAAAAAAGACAACTCTTTGAACATTTCCAGATGAATAGCTAGGTAATACACTTGTTTTTCAATGCAGTCCAAAGTAGATAATCACCTGAGAGACAGCTGCAAAGACAAGAATTAGATTGATGTTTCAACACTGCATTGAAACAATCTTTAAAAAACTATTCTGTCAGCACAAAATGAAGTTTCCACCTGCAACTTTATGCATTTGGCAAACAGAACGAGTGCACTTCTGTCATGTTATTTTAGGACACAAAGAAATGCATCCTAGAGTTGATCTCCTACTGACTGCAATGCATCAGCAGCTTTGTCAGAATTTCACAGTAAAAACAAAATTATAGCCATCATGGTAACAAACAAAAAGTCAAGTGAAACCATTTTAAAAGATAAGCACTGGACAAGTTCCCTCTCTCAAAACAGGGGATGTGTACAGGGTTCATCTCTGCTCAGTGTAATCATCTGCTATGAAAATTGCTAGTATAGTTTACTTTCAGATGACTTCTTGACAAAACTAAGATCTTACAGTGTGTCTGACCAGAACAATACGTATATATCTGTTGCTCATAAACTACACGTTGCTCCACTGTTAGCAGCGTCCAGAAAACCGCACATTGGCAATAATCCCTTTTCATTTCCAGAGGATGAGTTTAAAAAACAAAGAAACAAACAAAAAGTCACTTTCACAAGGAAAATTGCAAGAAAAAAAATTGGGGGGGGGGGGGGAAGAAGCATTAAAATGACCTAAAATTTTTTTATGCCCCCCCTTACCTATGAAACAGAATCCTCTAGGAAGCCCTCAACCTGCTGATTTGTTACTAAACACTGCCACAGGCAACTAAATAACAGTTTCCTTTCTAAATGTTACTGGTTGCAGCAGACCGCAGATGTAAAATGCATTACAAAGCAGAGTGGACTTAGGCAAGTACTTCTACAAAGTTAGAGCAATACATGCAGTACAGAAACAGTTGTGTTTTAATGCCAATGTAACACAAAGTGCTTTATGATCTAGATCTAGAAACATTATTCTCATTTTAATAATACAGCTGTTCTTCCTGCAGTAATAAAATACTAGTGAATTGCCAATATTACATGGGTCACGTTAGTAATGGAGAGAAAAGATCCCTGCCAGCCTTGCAAATGTACTGTACTTCCAGACTCCAGGAGAAGAGAATAGTTAAACAAATATTCACACATGATTTAAGGTTTGTTTTTTTCTTCTTCTTTTTCTTCTTGTGAAATGCAAAGGTTTAAATGCAATTGCTCTTTAAAAAAATCCCATTTTTCTCCCTCAAAACACATGCAAGCTGACTTGGAAAAGTGAATTCCTATTCTAATACTAAGGATGGATATAAACGGAAAGCACAGACCTTCTTTCAAGACAAAATTGTACTCTTCTGTCAACAACACAGGGTTCATCTAAGTCACATTTTCCTTAAGATTTCACACCACAAATGTTACTGCCTAAATCATGATACACAATGCTGTTCAAATCATGATAAAAATCATTAAATATAGTTATTGTCTTTCATGGTACTTCTCACTAAAATCACAAGATGCAATAGAAAATCTGTGGGTTTTTTCCCCACGAGCTTTAAAGTTATTCTCTTGTACCTGGACTTTGCCCTGTCGACTGGTCTTCTTTTAGTTTCCGTTACCTTTAATCTTTCCTAACATGTTGAAAGCAAATTTCCATTGCAAAACATAGGCATTACAAAAAATCCCCACAAGAAAAAAAACAAACAAAAACCCAGAAAGTTGTCATAGCTACTTGCCTCTTGGCAATTTCTGAGCGTTTCCCAGGGTTAGTGCAATATGTCCACAGAAAAGGAGAAAGACCAATCTTGATATCATGGCTGCAAACCCAACCTCGCACTTTGAATGATGCTGATAGAGGTTATCACACAGGGTACTGCAGCTGTGGTTAAAAGTGAAGTGTTCTCTCTGTGACAGAGGCAGCAACACTTTGACACAAGCTTAGTTTACACAGTGGGAGGAGACAGGATGACATCATCCACTCTCACTGGAAAAGGAGAATTAGCCTAAAAAAATAAAAAATAAAAATCAGGCTCCCCCCCAAAAGATCTTCCGGGTTTTGTTACAACATCTTTCCACCTCACAGGATAACAGATTAACCTAAATGATCACTTGCATTTCATGCAGATAAAACCAGATTCCTATCAAAACCTCTATTAACTGAAAAATGATCAGAGATAGAATTGCACTGTTTTGTCCAAGGAAGCTGAATCTAAAATGCAAAATTAACATTCATTTTACTCAGAAAAAAGTCTTTTCCTTATTGAACTCAAAACTTTTGCAATCTTAAAATTTTGCCTAAGTTTACTCTGGGCTATATATTGCTTTCCTTCATGCAAAATAAATACTGCCTTCATTTGACAGACATTATTAACAGGCATGAGAAACATTTATTCAGTAGAGGATCTGTGCTTGTAAAAAACAAATGTCACTTTTCACATGTTTATTTGATTTTGACCACTTGAAAGTATTTTACATTTCCCCCTTTCATACAAGTCTGCTGCACAATGCACAGGGAAAGCTAAGAGTTTCCTCCTTGGGCTGCATCCTCTCTCCAGTTACATTAATGGAATTTATTTTTCATTTACACTTATGTCAGCTGTTTCACTCAATGTTTACAATGATCTGACTAAGCACAGAATTTGGCCCTATTCACAACAGAGATTCTGGGAAGAAAGGGGTGAAGCAGAATAAGAAAATAGTTACAACAGAGTAAGACCTGAATACAGTCTCAGTATCTGGAAAACACCCTAAAAGAGATTAAATCTAGTAAATTAAGTAGTCATCTCTCAAAAAATAAATAAATAAAGATATCCATTGCTTGCAATACGTAAAGCTCTCCAGTATGTTTGGTCTGTTCCCACCCCTACCTCCCTGTTCCTGCTAGTTCTACTCTCATACAGTACTCCATAAGCAGAGAAAATAATAGCAGTAGTGCCTGGGCTGGACAGAAACATCAAAGGAGTTCAGAACAAAATGGTAATATGAAGGCACATGGGAGCATTTCTAAAAAGACTCATCAGTACTATATTTAAAATAACCCATCTACGCCATACTTCAGAAAGAATAATTTCAAAACAGAAGCTAATAGCAATTGTATTAGAGACAAAAACAAGGAAATGTAAGCTCTTTCAACTCAGTGGGGACAGCACACAGCTATAATGTTTTAGGGCCTGATCAGATAATCTTGCTTTAATTCTGACAAAAGGAAAACTTTTCCTGATTCCCCAACTCAAATCAGGGAATGGTAAGTTGGAAGTTAATACTATACACAGGCCCTTATCAAAAGCCCAAAACACTAACAACTCCCGGATCTTTGGGAAGATTCAGATCCTAAAAGTGAGTTGTTTCCTAGGAATATTAAGAACAGATAAATGCAGCAACAACAATTTGGATACGACAAAAAGGTGTTAAAAAGACCATAGAGATGGATAGGAGTCTCCCAAAACACTGACCACGCCTGCTGGCAAACGAGTTTCAAATGACAGAAAGCTGGATATACAGAGTAAATGTGCTGTTTTCTCTTATTTTGTGGTTAAAATATGTAATTTGGACAAATACACATTTTGCAAAAATTCTCTGCAAAGCACATTCTATTTCTTCCTCTTCAGAATTAAAAATAAGAAAACCAATCATTTGATAGAGTGGTCTCTCAAGAGAAGTAAAGGAAGATTGCTGCTTGGTTACAAACAGCTGTCTTTATGTTACTGTAAAGCTGCACTGCACTGGTTTGTCTTACAGGTGATTCGCTCACCTTTTAAAGATCGATCACAGGATACCTTTCCACAAAACATATAAAGGCCAATTTCTACTCAGAAAAATCTTACTGAAACATGTTAGTTATTTAGGGGATAAACAAACTAGGTTTTATCCC